TGTGTCACCTAGTGGTAGCAAAATCTCCCCACAGACAAGCAACTTCCTCTTCACAATTATCTGAGCAGCTGGAATATCTCAGACAAAACCGAAGACAATATTTCTCCACTCTCCGGGGACCATGTTTCTTTTCTGTCTTTCTTTTTTACCTCTTTGTAGGAATGCATTCATTTTATCTTGTCAGATGATTTTGTTCTATATGGCACAGGTTGCCACCCATAATTTGCTAACTCCAAAGTTCTTTAAGAGGAACTTTGGAGGTACCCAAGAATTGCATATTTCAGCAGTAAAATCAGTTTAGTTCCCTTTACATCTGAAAATTAACTGTCAAAACAGCCCGAGAGACTGTATTTAAAAAAATTAAGCCTGCTCATCATTACAGATATGAGGGCAGTGTACGTACAATTATAAGTAAAACAAGAAAGAGCAAACACATGCACACAACATCTTTAACAGCGATAGAACGCTACATTTCCGATGATTCTCTCAAGAAACAATGGATTTATTCCAAAATTGGCTTTTCTTCCTCAACTGTCTGCTAGGCGCAAGGCATTGCTCTTGCATTGGTAGCTACACTGCGGTCACCTATGAGAAATACAAGAGGCATGTATGCAATACTTCACATCAGCGCATGACTACTATGTTCAGTTATCATTTAATTCCTCCCTTTGGGAAACATCTACCAGGCACTAAATTAAGAGACAGGGCTTACTTCCTGGTAAAGGATACATAAAACATATAATAAAGTGGTTTTACATGATTTAAATGGATTAAGATTGCGCCTGTGTTACCTGCAGCAACAATCCACTATATTAGCAAATCTCACCTTTACTTTTTTATTATTTGTATCAGAGCATTGCATGATTCAAAGTCATGGACACACATGGAACATAGGCAAAATAAAAAGACCAATTAAAATGCCGAGACAATCACATTGCTTTTCACCAGAAGCAGTCAAAGCTTGAGATCGGTTCAGGAATACTTTCCCTTGACTAGCCGTCATCCAGGGGTTCCCTTGCTATTTATGCCTTTGTCCTTATCAATACAGCTTGTTGGATTTTTTTTTGAAGTAAGTATTTGTGCATTTGCTTTTCTTATTAGAAATACACAGTGGCATTTCCAATTACCTTCATTTGGGGGTCAAGGAGGGGAGGAAAAAAATGCCTTCTGACCAACAGTAAATGGGTAGGCGACAGATTGCAGTAGTTTTTATTCCAGAGCCACTAAATAGTGCACCGTTTGTCTATTTATGGAGCAACGTTCTTCAATTGTATTCAACTGTCACTGCCTTGAAAGGTGCTTGTTCTGGGCAGCTACAAAGCCATAGCTTTATTTCCAAAGAACGCAGCCACTTTCTTGGGAGTAACGAGACCCACGCCGTGTTTTGGGACATCTGTGGTTTTCTGAATGCCTAGAATTGGAGCATTTATCACCATAATTGGGGAGATCAAACCACCATATATCTGAGATATTTTGGAGCAGAGTACAGTATGCTTCCCACTCCTCTTTTTAGAAATTACCACTCAGTTACTTTGCAAACACTGTAAGTTACAATGGCCAACATCCTGTTGCTTAGTGTAGTAAATTGCTTAGTGTAGTAAATTTGGCTTTATAACTTCAAATCAAGCCCCAACTCCCTTCCCTGAATGTCACATTCCTCTGGCGGAGGTTAGTGATATGGTTTGTGTATTCCTTTATTTATTTATTTAATTGCCCTTAATAAAAATGGCGGGCTTGCGCTCCGCCCTGTCTCGGGCAACGCTCCGCCCCACGGGACGAGGTGCTGCCCTTGACAAAGATGGCGCATCCATTTATGGAGGGCTTGCTGGGACGGGGCGGAGCCTGTGCCGTTCCCAGCAAAATGGCTGCCTGCGCTTGCGCGCATGCGCTTTAGAGAGACGACCGGCGCCGTGGGGGGTGGAATTATATTCGGCTCGTGGTCGGCGTGAAAGGGGTGCCGGAGCCCCACTTGGGTAGGTCGGGAGCAAGAAAAGGGGAGGCGGTATCATATGGGGTGGGGGGGCTGCCTCTTCCGTGGCAAAGGGAAAATCCGTCGGTACTTTTCAGGGCCCCCCCATGGAGGTTTCCTACGAAATTCAGCGCCCCCCCAACCCTAGACCCCCAATTGCATGGTGGGGGGGGAGCCCCAGTGAGTGTTTTCCCCCCTACTCCGTCTCGTTTTTATCCCTTAGTTTTTCTTCTCCTTGAGGGGGTGCATATCTGTCCTCCCCAGGGGTAGATAGCTGCAGACATGAGCTGTGCAGAAATGCAGTTTTCTGGTCTTTTTCCTGATAGGAAGGAGCTGGTGGGTTTGTCGAGTCTTTGCTTTGAAAAAAAAGGAACGATATTTATTTTGGGGGGGGGAAGCAGACCAGAGGCATGTTGGGAGCATGATGCATGGGGGTGGGGGATGGATGCACAGACTCGGGTCGTTTTATTATTTCACGTTACTCCCCAGTGTTAAAAAAATATGTGCCCGGTTCTTTCTTTGCTCCTTTTAACCTTCCTTACAACCCTGCAAGGTTGGCTGCAGTCATGGCAATGCTCGTTGCTGCTAAATAAATGCCTCTTAAGCTGCTTTGGGTGCTTTTAGAGGTGAAAAGCAGGCTTAAAATATTTTAAAATAAATAATATGCATTTATTTATCTTTTCCTTGGGTGAGCTCCAGCCTGTACCTCTTCACAAAACTCTGCTGGGCAGAGTTACAAGAGCCTGGCTGAGTCAAGGATTTCAACTTAAATGTCTTGATTTATAATCCTAAAGTCCTAATCATTTTATCCTGCCAGCAAGGTCTAGGAACTAATTCGGTCTAGGTCATCTGGTAAATTTTGTTGCCCAGGGAGGACTTGAACCTGTTTCTGTTGGTGCCCAGGCCTTTTTTGACCCTACTAATATGATGCCACGTTGTTCTTCTATTGAAGCCTGTGGCCCTTCAATGAAACTGATGGATAGGAAATTTGGAAAAGATGGGAAAATGTACAGTACTTCATGTTGTGCATAGCCAAATGATGGGGTTTGCTACTGCAAGATAACAATGTTGGCCCCTGGCTTCAATCCTTTTAGAAAGGGATTAGGTACATTTGGGGAGAACCAGGCTGTCAGTGGCTTGATAGCTAAATGGAACCTCCATGTACAGAGGCAGTGCGACTGAGCATCAGTCGGTGGAGACGGAGCTGAAGAGAAGTTGATAGAATAGGCCTTTGATAGACACATATGAGACACATCTTTTTTCTGCATTATGTAGTATGAGTGGACCTCGGCTCTTTGTTCCCATTAGCAAGTTTTGAAAGACTGTACTTTGAAATATGAGAAAGGTATGTTCTCCTCCTCACCCTTTTTTAAAAAAATTGCACCCTTTGCTACATGGGATCTTGAGTTTTCTGATCCTCAGAGGCAGTTTGCTGTTCTCAGGATCCGAAAACTGAGTGGGACCTTCAAGGACTTTGCCCTCTCTTCGTATCATGGTTGGGGCAGACCGGAAGAAATCATACGGATGCTCAGCATGGAGGGATGCCCATTCCTGTTGCAAACCCCTCTTGCTTCTTGTAGGCATCTCAGTGACTCCCGTGGAAGCAGAAGGCCAAACCGGAGAAGCCTTTGTTCCTGTCCAGCTCTTAATTCTGTATGGTTTTTACAAGATGTTTGTGCAGGAACGTTGCAAAAGAGCTGGCCTTTTTTTTGGAAAAGAGCTTGGTCTCGTTTTAATCAAACCTCTGTTTTTTCCTTGTTTTGGCAGATGATTCAAGATGTCAGAAGGGACTTCGAGCGGTGATCCTGGGAACTCTGGAAATACCCGCTCCACACTTGGTACCGCGCGTGGCCTGATCGGGAGGAGACCCAGTGCCCCAATAACACCAGGCCGCCTGCCCTCCATTCGCTCCCGGGACCTTACCCTTGGAGGAGTGAAAAAAGTAAGGGTCTTGACATTTAAGGAATAATAAGATAGTATGAGATTTCCCACACAGACACAAATTCCTAGGAGGCAATTGTTAGACAAGAACTTAGAAAATGCTCTTGTCTGATCCAGGTTGGATCTTCTGACATTTATGAAAAGATCAGACCAGAGAAGTAGCTGGTGGTTTGTTTGTTTTTTGTAGCTGCTTCTTCAAAAGAAAGTGGGCTACTTATGCTGAGCCTGATTTTTTCATCTTGAAGGACCCGCTAGAAACATTGTTGTATTTATCAAAACAGACTAAACATGGCATCCCGCTAGCACCCCAAATTTATGGCAAGTGCCGTAACCCTTAATTTTTAATTCCAACTCATTATGCTGGTTTTGCTTGTGTCTTTTGGCAAGTTTGTGATGTTCTGCATTTTCCATCTACAAAGTGGGAGGAATACTTACCCATCTATTTAAGCAGTAAGACTTAATCAGTCCCTAATTTAATACAGCAACTCCTACTCCTGGTATTCTTACATTTCTGATTGTCGGAAGCTGGGAATAAATAATGAAAGGTAACTTGTTTGCTCCAGAAATGCTAAGGTGTTTACTCATTAATGGGTTGCTTTTGCATAATTTCTCTGAATCATGAGATACCAGAGAATGACAAAGACTGGTTTCTGGGCCTACGCTATCTTATATGTGTTGAAATGAAAATCATTAAAATCCACATGTTCTTCCCGATTTATGCAAAGACTGGTTTCTGGGCCTACTCTATCTTATGTGTTGAAATGAAAATCATAAAAATCCACATGTTCTTCCCGATTTATGCATATCGAATTGCAGGCTAAGCAAAGTAGTGATATCAGCTGACAAAATACAATGTGCACTGTTACATAAATAAAAGCTGTTTAATAAGATATTGATTGATCATATGCTGTCAGGTTGATTCCAACTTATGCTGATCCTGCAAAGGGGTTCCTAGGTATAGAGTACTTTGCGATGGTTTGACATTTCCTCCTTCCTCTTGTGTTGTGGGATTATGCCATTTGCCCAAGGCTATATAGGCTGGCTCTTCCCCTGGGAGACAGAGTGGAGAATCAAACTCCTAGCAAGTCAGATACTCCAACTCACTGAGTCCTCCAACCAGCTTCATGGATAAGGAATAGCTTTGAGAGACAGAGTCGAGAATCAAACTCCTAACTCCTAGCAAGTCACATACTCCAACTCACTGAGTCTTCCAACCAGCTTCATGGATAAGGAATAGCTGCACATATTACATCACAATCTTTGTTGCTTTAAATACAAAGGAAATGTTTGTCAAATTACTGTAAAAGTATTGCGTCATAACAAAGTGGTTAAATCCCATTGAGACATTTTCATGGTTGACCGTTGTGTCATAAACTTAGAGCAGTGATTTACAAATTACATTCCAGGATCTTTGACATCTCTTAGAAGGAGGATTTTGATTTGGGGCTTTTGGAAGAGACAGTTTACCTACTACTACCCATCCTCCCCTTTCATTGCCTATCTAGAGTGTCTCCTAAGGTGTATATTTAATTTTCATAGAGAGAGGGTGATGCCTAGCAGACCTGTCCGGTACTCTCCGCTGATTGAGCCTGCACCTTAGGATGATGCCTTGGAACTCTCTGCTGAATGTGAGGGCTTTGAGGCACATGAACTTATGTGGAAAGTTTGAAAAAAAAAAGAATTAAAAAGCAGTCCATGCTGAGAAAGTGTGGTGCACTATTTAGAGAGTTATACTGGGACTTGGGAGTGTCCAGTAAGTCAGAGACCTTGCTCCATTTACAGTCTTCCAGCTTGGACTACCTCATAAAGTTGTTCTGAGGACCACATGGCAAACAGGAGGAGCAAGTACACCATACTGAGCTCACTGGAAGAAAGGTGGGCTATACATGTAAAGAATAGGTAAAGGTTCCCCTTGACATTTAGTCCAGTCGTGTCCAACTCTAGGGCACGGTGCTCGTCCCTGTTTCCAAGCTGTAGAGCTAGCATTTGTCCAAAGACAGTTTCCATGGTCACGTGGCCAGCACGACTAGACACGGAACGCCGTGACCTTCCCACCGTGGTGGTACCTATTTATCTACTCACATTTTTGCATGCTTTCGAACTGCTAGGTTGGCAGGAGATACAATAAAAGATGTAAAGAATAAATGGGGGGGGGATTGTTTAAATTCTTGAGAAACCCTTCCAAAATAACATTGTTCTCTTCAGTTATCTGAAACAGCAGGTTAAGTCCACGGTGCAGAATCCAGCATCAAACATATTGGTAAGAACAGATATAGAGATTACTTCCAGATGGAAAAAAAATGGGAAGTGCCAACTAAAATGTAATTGATGGAAAGGTTGGAAGGCTATCGGAATAAATGGCCTGTTTGGCAAGGGTCTCTTGGGAAGCTGCATGTGCTAATAGCTTTCATATGAAAGAGATTATTATTATTTCACAATTGGGACCCATTTATTGGAGAACGAGTTGTTTTCCTGGGATTTATTTTCCATCTTTCTTTTTGGTTTAAATAGAGTGAAATGGCAGCTGAATTAATCCCCATCTCCTTCGAATGCTCTTAATTCTATTGTCCTAAGCTTGGAGGATAACATTGTTTTTATCCTTCCTTATAAATTAAACAGGATTAAGGCCATGACCGTACAGTATGTATTTTCTCAGCCAGAAAAGCAGTTGGACTGGTTCCACGCTGTGCTTTCTTCCCACTTTGCTATTCCTGTTGGTGTGACATTTAAGAGTTAGTCAGATGTTGTCGTCTTTCTGCGGAGGATGGCTGGCAAACGGCAAACTCAATCAGGACGTTTTGGGGTCTGTGAAAGCACGAGGAAGGGGTGCCAAGAAGAATTGGAAGAAGCCCACGTGCAGGGGGATCCAGAACCTCAATATCTGGAATGGCTTCCAATTTCCATGGTTGAATTCTAAAAACGGGCAGGAGCTTGGATGTTCCGTTAAAGTTCGTGCAGAATATGAGGGATGCTCATCAAACCATGTTTCCAGTGCAAAAGGCGGGACAGAAAGTCTTCCAACATCAGTGAGAAACCGTAGCCGCTTCAAAGATCAGCTCCTGTTTCCAAACTGCCAGTGAAGAACTGAATATGAAAAATGACGATTTTCTGGGGCAGCCAGCTTCGCCGGCCCAGGCTGGAACATAACGCTAGCCCTTTTATCTCCTACCCATGTGGCACAGTACTTGCTTTGCCAGAACAGACCCACGTCATGGAGTCTGGATTTCTGTTTCCAAATGCCTGTGACTGTGGTCGAGTATTTGTGGAAGTTCCACTTATGTATCATAACTAGAGATGGTCATGAACAAAGAGTTATTGATAGCATTAAGAACCTGACAAGAGGGAATCTTGCTCACCTCTGATGTGGGAGATGTATTTCATTAAACCTTCACACACACTCAAAAACTATTGTTACAGAAAGCATGCTAAGAATGCTCAAGATCCCACATTCTGTGGCTTGGCTCGTTGAGTGGAATATGCACTGTTATTATTCTAGAGGTGTAACTTCCTGAGTGATTTAAGGACTTCTCATCTTGTAACTGAAGCCAGGTAACTGTTCTGTAGCCAGGACTGTTGTGTGCGGAGGACACATGAATAAAGCGCCTACATACTTACAGGTTTTTAAAAATTTTCTCATTAAAAACTGGGCACCATTGAATGTTTCCTCCTGCACATAAATATTTGCAAAATTCTTCAGTTAGGTCTGGAAAGAGGGAAGGGGTGTATCAATAGATGTGCCACCAGAATACATGGAGTAGAAAGCATTACTTGAAGCTATAGAAGGTCTAACAGGCATTCAAAACACAGAAGGACCACATTGTTTTAAAATGCATGTTTTGTCCCTTCTGAAAACGAGGGTGAGAATCCTGTGTTGCTTCCTCCCTTCAGATTTGAAAATCTCAAGTGTATGGGAGACCTGAGTTTACAACATTGTGTGCGATAACATCCCAAATGCATTTGGAAAAATGCATGACTTTATAGATAAATCCAAGTGGGCTGCTGTCATTCTCTCTCTCTCCTTTTTTTTTCAACAGAAAACCTTTGTGTACAACATAATTAGCCGGAAAATCAAAGAAGAGTAAGTGGCCTTTTCATACTATCTCTGTAAGCTGTGATTGCATATACGAAATGCTGAAGAAAGTGCAGACCGAGAGGCTGGGGAAAATTGTTCAAGGAGAGAGTGTATCGCTTGGTCGGCAACAGCCCTCATTGTACTTTGTGCACCTAAGAGGTCGTAGAATTGTGGAGTTGACAGCGACCCCCAAGTCACGTAGTCAACCATATGCCACTGTATGAAGCGTATTCCTGCCGTCATACTGCTGTTCAAGAATCTCCAGACTCCACCACCTTCTTCTGGGGCAGTCTGTTGCTCTGCGGGACAACTCTTACCAGCTCAGACGTTCCTGATAATATTTAGCTTGTGATCCTCTTCCTTATATCTGGCGAGTTGTGGAAGAGTTGCTCGTGTGGTCGTCTCCCAAACCTGTTAGCTTTTGAGATGCAGAGAATGTCTGACATACTGGTACTGCTGGACTTTATTTGCCATATCTGTACAGTGGTGCCTCGCTAGACGATCCTTTTAATGCTATCTCTGTAAGCTGTGATTGTATATACAAAATGCTGAAGAAAGTGCAGACCGAGAAAATTGCTGTTTAGCGAAATCATCATGTAGCGAAAAAGCATTTCCCCATTGGAATGCATTGAAACCTGTTTAATGCGTTCCAATGGGGAAGAATCGTCGTTGTCTAGCGAAGATCGGCCATAGAAAAGCTGATTTGCGAACCGCCGATCAGCTGTTTAAATCGCTTCCTTGCGAAGCTAAGGTCCCAAAAACACCTGTTTTGCGAGCGTGGAGGGAGCTGTCAAAATCGTCATCTAGCGAAAATCGGTTTACGAAGCAGGGACCAAACATTGTCCAGCGAAATTCCCCCATAGGAATCACTGTTTTGCGAATCACTATAGCGATCGAAAAAAGTCAATGTCTAGTGAAAAAACTGTCATGCGGGGTAACTGTCTAGCGAGGCACCTCTGTACATTTAAATTGACTGCTACTCATGAAATAATGGCCGGATCTTGTTGCTGATTTATGTTCATGTAAGGAAAATCGTCTTACGTCTCAGATGTGGTCCAGAGCATGCAGCCAGCACCTTATTAAGGAGCAGCAATTTGCTGCTGCAATTTAATCTGCTTCACTTACACAGTTGTACATTTTGCAGTAGGATTCTGGCTGTGGTATGTAAAGTCCTTTTCTCTTTTCTGATGGAACAGGGCTTGAGAACATTCTGGTTTTATTGAAACACATCTTAATAGGAGCAGATAATCTTCACTTCATTTTGATTTGATTTTTCTTCTGCCTTCTTTTAGACCCAAAGAGGATGTTTCCATCAAGAAAGAGAAGAAGGATCGCGATCGAGAACGGCAGAGAGATGGTTATGGACGAGGCCGAGGGAGGCCAGAGGTCATCCAGTCTCACTCCATCTTTGAGCAGGGTCCAGCAGAAATGATGAAAAAGAAAGGTACCTGGAGGGTTCGTGTGAACAATGAACCCCACGCGACCATGCGTATCGCTTCTGGGTTTGAACCTTTGGTTCAAAATCCACATTTATTTGTCGGCTCACTGGGAAAGCTACCATTCTGATCAGCAAATATGGGTTCTCTTTCTTACATGAATGCTATTAAATGCACAGTCATAAAATACTTTGTGTCAGCTAAAAAACCTTTTGCTGTAGCTATAAATGCCAGTCCTGAAGAATATCAGGAGAAGCAGATAAGCTTTCTTGAAGCTGCTGGGAATCCAGCAAAAACTGAAGGCATGGTGGCAGGCAGGGTGAGCAAACCCGCCCTGCAGCTGGATGCATGAGAAGGGAATGCAAGATTAGAGATGGGCAGAAACCAACGGCTGGGTGGTTCGGCTTGGTTCCTTTGCCACCACAGCAGGTGTTTGGTGGTTCGGCACCCTGCCCCTTCTGAAGCTGTGCCCGGAGGAGTCAGGGCAGGGAAACCAGGGTGCTCTTTCTGAGCGAGCACCCGCAGGAAGGGGCAGGGCGCCAGACACCAGTTGCTGTGGTCAATGAACCAGGCCGAACCAGCAGTTCATGCCCATTTCTAATCCTGCATTTCCTTCTCATGCATAGAACCTGAAATTATCAAGCAGTTTCCAGAGAAGACCCTACCTATGCTCTTCTTTTTAAATTTTAAAATTCTTTAAAAATTTTAAATTTTACTGTTCATTATATATAAGAGGCAGTCACGAAAGCAGCAAAACCAGGGAGGGGGACAGGGGACAAATGGCATTTGTCTTCAGTGTGGAAGGGATGGTCACTCTCGAATTGGCCTCCTCAGCCACGCTAGACGCTGTTCCAAGTCCTCTATTCAGAGCACGTTACCATAGTCTCTCGAGACTGAAGGAATCCTAATATATTAGACACAATGTGGTCTAGAAACCTCTTTTTCCTAGTGTTCCCCTTGCCTCTTCCTTCCTCTTTGCAATTGACTATACAAAATAACAGATTTGTGACTTGAGCCACTCCTTTTTGGCTTCGTTTTTAAGAAATGGCTTGAGGAGGTGATCTCACCATATAGACTGCTCCTAGCTATGGATGCCCGAGCTATAAAAGCTGACCTGCCTGCCTGTCTTCAGAGTAGTGAGATGCTTACAGATCCGCTGTTCTTGCTGTCTGTGCAGGGACCTGGGATAAGACCGTGGATGTGTCCGATTTTGGTCCATCCCACATCATCAACATAAAGAAAGAGAAGAGGGAGACTGACGAGGAAACCAAGCAGATTCTGCGCATGCTGCAGAAGGATGATGTGAGTTCTGTGGTGGCCACATTTGAGTTCTGGTTTTGAGCCAGAAAAAACAAGGTGGAACAGGTGACCAGATATAATACTCTATCTAAATCTTTCTTGGCTCTGTTGGAAATACCGTGGTATTTTCCATTTTTGAAGGCTAAAAATGAAGCTGCTTGCTCCCTGGAGTTCTTGAAGAGATCAAGAAAGATCTTGGCAAATCTGAGCAGCCTTTCCGAATCCATCCATCCAGGGACCGATCGTCTCTCCATGTAAAACTGTTCCTTCCACTTAAGGAAACTAGGATGTAAGGGAGAAGGCTAATGGTCTCCCATTGCATACCAACATATTTATTACTTTTTCATTTCCACTCTACATTTCCACTTTTTAAAAAAACTGAAGTGGGTGAAGCACAAATTAAGTTAAGAAACTTAATTTGTATGAGGAAACGTTCGTCTGAGCCCCGACCTGCAATTTGAATTGCTAGAGTGCATGCGCCTTGTGGGCTTTCTCTTAGAGGAATTGATTTCCCAGGGAATCCCGCAAGGATTAGGCTATCATTGATGATCAGGTGTTTGCGACCTTCAGGTGCTTTGGATGCAGGGATGGAGTAGTTTAAGTTGATTTTTTTCCCTTTGTGTGTTGAGCTCTTTGTAAGCCCCTTTGGGTGGGAGATCCTAGTTTTGGCCTCTCCCAATAGGATACGTGTAATTTTTTTAAAAAAAAAACTATGAGTCCATTAGTTCACTGAAATAAGGCACCCTTCTTTGTGAGGTGGTCTTTATTTCTTTTTCATTTGGCTCACCTATGTTTCCCTTTGAAATCTTTCCCGGGGGGGGCAGTTTGTGAGCCTTGTTTCTGTTCTTTTTTGTTACGGGGTGGGGTGCAAAATGGTCCCCAGGCCCCCTGAGCCTGCACTGATCTGTCTAAGACCCCTTGCGCTTACATTGGCTGAGGTCCTGCTGCTCTGTTGCCTCTTGAAGAGGGCCATTGAATCTATGGAACTAACAGAGAAGTTGACTCACCAAGTCCCTGCGGTTTCAGAGCGATGTGTGATGCTAAGCAACAGGATTGCACTCATTAATTGAAATCTGAGGCCAAAATGAGCCTGTTCACATAATACCCCGTCAACGTGTGTAATTCCATCTCATACAGTGGTGCCTCGCTTGACGACGTTAATTCGTTCCAGCGAAACCACTGCAGAGCGAAATCGTCATCAAACGAAATTTAAAAAAAAAAAACCATTGAAACGCATTGAAAACTGTTCAGTGCGTTCCAGTGGGCTGAATACCTGCTCGTCCAGCGAAGATCCTCCATACGGCGGCCATTTTTTTATACCTGTAATGCGAGGAATCCGTCCCAGCACAGCGGGGAGCCATTTTGCTGATCGGCGTAAAGCAAAAAATCGGTTCCCGAAGCAGGGAACCAATCGTCGCTAAGCGAAAAAAAAACCATCTAAACATCGTGAAGCGATGCAAAAACTTCAACATTAAGCAGATTTGTCGTAGAGTGGGGTAATCGTCCAGCGGGGCACGCCTGTACTTTGTGTATGTTATCATGGATTTTCAGTAACCACCATTTTGCTGATCGTCGTAAAGCAAAAAATCGGTTCCCGAAGCAGGGAACCAATCGTCGCTAAGCGAAAAAAAAACCATCTAAACATCGTGAAGCGATGCAAAAACTTCAACATTAAGCAGATTTGTCGTAGAGTGGGGTAATCGTCCAGCGGGGCACGCCTGTACTTTGTGTATGTTATCATGGATTTTCAGTAACCCTATAATGGGGGGTCTCCCCCATTCTTTATTACCACATGTGTACTTTGCATATCTTATCATGGATTTTCAGTAACCCTATAACGGGGGTCTCCCCCATTCTTTATTACCACATACAGCTTAATGTCTCAGGAGTAAATGCGATTTTCAGGAGTGAGTTCCTTTCTCTATCTGTTTTCCTTCTGCCGGCAGTTCCTTGATGACCCAGGGTTGAAAAATGACATCCGGAACAAGCCCGTTCAGCTTCCGCTGGCCCATTCGGGCTGGCTTTTCAAAGAGGAAGATCAAGAGGAGGTCAAGCTTTTGCATCCGAGCCCAAAGGAGGAGGAGGAGATGGATGTAGACGTATCTTCGGTGAAAGGTAGGTGTATCTCAGAGGGAGGCATCCGGCCGGATACGTGTGGAAGCAGCAAATTAAAGAACTTGGCCCCGTGTTCCAGCTGAGCAGGATTTCTCCTTGGTTCTCATAGGCTTTTGGGAGCTGGAAGAGACCTCAAGGGTCTTCGTCCCCAACACCTTGCTTCCTGCAGGAAATCCACAGCAAATCTTAGTCGAGCTGTTTTCTTTTTACGGCTGCCTTGCTATGCTTGAGCACTTCAGGATGGTTTCCCCCCTCCCTGAACTTCTGAATTAACGACCCCCAAAATGTCATTTGTAAATGTAAATCCTTTTGCCTCTCTGCATCGCTGGCTTAGCCCGTCTTCCTTGCTCCACCCACATCATGTAATCATCCTGTTTTGCTGTTACCTCCATTTTTAATATAAAGAGCACAGGGTAATCGTTATTTTAGTGAAGTGGTTTTATTGCTCAGTCTCTCCTTCATTGGCTTAACTGGGTTGTAATCGATGTTATTAACCCTTGTTAGCAGCCTCCAGCCCTTCTGTTTTTAATGAAGGTCATGGTATCGATGTCTTAAATCAATATAGGCTAGAGATGTGAACTGGAAGACTGCCATTCAGAAATTCAGCTCACACAGAACCTGTGAGGTGGTTTCTTAGAAGCCAAGAGCCTTCTTTTATTCTGGAAGCTAAGAGCCTTCTTTTATCCACCTTGCAAGGATCATTAAAATACAGGATTTAAGCTAACAAGAGTGAGTATACAGAAACTAGAAAGGATCAAACTAATACCATCCTAAAAAACGTAAACAACACCAAAACACATTTAAAGCAGTAAGGTACAGCCATCCCTTTTAAAACCCCTACTCAGGCAGCCAGTCACTCAGGGAAAGCTTGCCTGTAGAGAAAGGTCTTTGCCTGCCTGTGGAAGGACAGCAAAGATGGGGCCAGTCTGGCTTCCAGTGGGAGGGAGTTCCAGAGTCTAAAGGAGCAGCCACAGAGAAGGCCCTCCTCTCCTGTGTCACCACCAGACACACCCATGAAGGTCGCCATATGATGACCCTGCTGCTCCTTGTCTTTTGTTCTAGTGAAAGAGGAGCCCCACGATGGAGAAGAGGCACTGCCTGCCCTCAAACCAGCTCCGGCCAAGGCACCTCCCCCCTTCCCTCCGGACGTCTCCGTGGCTGAGCTGCTGCAGAAACTGAGCCTCTGCAGGGAGGATGAGCTGCTCTTTCTGCAGCTGCCAGACACGCTCCCGGGCCAGCCCCCCACCTGTGACGCCAAGCCCATCAAAACGGAGGTGCAGAACGAGGATGGCCAGATGGTGGTGATAAAGCAGGAGAAAAGCCAGGTATTGGAGGGGTGGGGCTTTCATTCTGCTGGAATGAAAGCCAATATAAGGCGAATAGGGCCCCATAGTGCAGATGTCGCTGAACTATAGGCTGGAGGGAGGAAAGGGGGGGTGTTGAAAAGCTGCCTATTGCAGTGGAAGGTCCAGGTCTTTCTTTTCTTGTTTTTTAACGTTTAAAAAGGCTTTCGGCTTTATGATTGCAAACCTTTATTTGGAGGTGTGTGAGCAAAGCTTAGTGGCAGATCAGAAGCCAGAGCCTTTGCTACTTACGTCTTCTTGTCTCAGCCTGTGGCCAGCAAAAGCCCGAATACGACGTGCAAACGCGCGCACACGCCCACAAAGGAAGAAAAACCAACAAGCCCAAACGTTCTTCATTTGCTTTATGTACCAGTCTGAAGGGCTTTCTGGTTTGCCTTCTGGGGGTGCGCAATTCTGATCTTATTGTATCTTTAGCACAACCCCTTCTGAGAACGGCGAAGCGAAATCACGAGAGAATCAGGATGGTCTTTACACGACTTCTCAGATCTTGGGGCCTTCGGGGCAGCTCCTGAATATTTGTAAGATGGGATCCCCCCAAAAGAGCGGGAGTGGTTCCTAACGGTTTCCTCTCTGTGCTTTTCAGGAAGCCAAGGAGGCGGAGCACATCTGTACCCTGGGGGACCTCTCGGAGGGGCAGGTGGGGAAGCTGCTGATTCGCAAATCAGGGAAGGTCCAACTCGTTCTGGGCAGAGTCACCCTGGATGTGACCACAGGGACTCCCTGCTCTTTTCTCCAGGTAGGGGGAGACCAAGGAAGCCTCTCTTTGATAGACTGTGGCAACACCTTCCTTCAAAACATGCCTCCCTTCTTCAGATCATGTGGAACCTCTGTATTCAGGAGCAGTGTACCTTGGAATGATAGTTGGAGGGGTACAAGACAACCCGAAAGGGCCAGTGATCTCTTTGTGGGCTTCCCAGAAACATCAGTCAGCCTTATCCAGCGGGGCTAATTGATTCTATTAACTCCCCAAGAGGTACTGGAAGAATCATCATCAAATTAATGTGGAGGAATAGTGTAAAAAGAATGTGGGATAGGGCTGTTTCTGATAAACTAATGAGGGAAATAAAGATTAGAAAAGGAGTCTTGAGCATAAATTATTTTTAAAGATATGTGAACTTTATTTTTAGTGCATGTATTTGAGAAAGGAAAAGGTTCAACCCCTGGACAAGAATTATTATATTTCTGGAGAGAAACAGGGCAGGTATAAAATGTAAAGAAAAACAAATAATTAGTCCTGAGGGTGTTGGGAGCATTGGGGGGGGGGGAGGAAATATGGACAATCTATTTTCCCTCTAAATATAAATTTGTCATTTTTTTAAAGTTGTTTTGTGAGTTGAATTGTTTTCCTGTTGTCTTTTAAGTTGTCGCGTTGTTGTGTATTATCAATTGAAAGTTGTAAAAGAATTTTTAAAATAATAATCACGTTTCTTCTTTGCTTTTTGGAAGGAACTGGTGTCCGTGGGCCTTGGAGATAACCGGAGTGGTGAAATGATCGTGCTGGGCCATGTGAAACACAAGCTCGTCTGCTCTCCGGATTTCGAATCCCTGCTGGAACACAGGCATCGATAAGGTGGTCAGACTGGGACTTCGTTAAAGGCCTGTGTTGGAGGGCCTTGATCCTCCCTGAGGGATCCTTCGAAACAACAGGGATTTTGGGCTAACCAGATGTGTCCTACTCAGAGGTTCCTAAGAAGACCTCTTCCAGACAGGCTCAACCGCCCTGTAGAGGAACGGAGCTGGGTGACGTCTTGGGGCCAAGCTTGGCCTCTAGAGCTATAAAGCCTTCCGTGAGGAGAGGTTGTAAGAACAACAGGAACCAAAGGGTTGAAGATAAGAGTTCTCGTTTTGTTTTGTTGTGGGTTTTTTTGTTTTGTTTTGTTTTTTGTGCGGGGAAGGTTTCTATAGCTTCAGTTGAAGGATTCTAGGACCTGTCGTTGGGGAAGTCGTTTGGGGTTGTTTTTTTGTGCGGGGAAGGTTTCTATAGCTCCATTTGGAGGATTCTAGGACCTGTCGTTGGGGAAGTCACCCTTCCAAATTCTGCGCCTCATTGAGAAGCGGCTTTATTTATAGAAAAGAAAACACGTGCTGTAATGACGTAACTCTCTGTGACCCTCCCGGACATAGAATAAAAATTTGTACAGGATTGGGTATGTGTGAGACTTGGAGCAGAAATAGCTATTCGGCGGCAGTTTTAGGTCCATGTCGATGCCCTTGTTCCAGATCTCTGCCTAAGAATGTTTCTCTTTTTTTCACCGGTGGGGGGGGGTGTCTTTATAGCCACATACTTAAGAGAGACAAAGGGATATGAAGTGGAGGTTGGTGGCTATGCTCCTAAGCAGCCACAACCAACTTACTGCCCCATATTTTGCCTGCCACCCCACAGACTCCACCTCCCAAGCCCAGCCTTCCAGCTGCATCAGGCAGATTGTGAAATTAGTCCTGTATGTTTCCTTTATTCTTTGAACCATTAAAATACATGCATGCATTTTCAGGGAGATGCCCAGTTTCCAGGGATCACCATGCTTGTCATGCCCAGTCCAGGGTTTCCAGAGCATTGAAAGACTTCTTCTTTCACCAATTGATCAGGAAGGGGTGAAAAGAGAGGTTTGTTGATCTCCCACTTCTGTGGGTTCCCCCCCTACAGTCGTGCCCCGCTTAACGATTGCCCCACATTACGACGAATCCGACTTCTCATTGCTACATCGTCTTGTATTTATTTATTTACTTTATTTATACCCCGCCTATCTGGTGCTTTGACCACTCTAGGTGGCTGTATGGATTGAGCCACCCGAAGGACCCTCATGTTCAGCATCCCGCCCTGAACCCCCCTCTCTCCAATGACGATCAGGCACACCGGGTCGACCAGGACGACAGCGACGGCGCGGGTGCAGGTCTCTCCACCGTCCTTGGAGACCTTCGTTTGGAGATCCATCGTGTGTTGTTGGGCCTCTGTATAGAGATGGTCGCGTACGACCATGCATGGGAGGCCACCGAGGGTCAGTCCTTGGGTGAGCAGGATGTTCCTGTTCTGACCAAGAAGAGCTTGAATCTCTGGCTCCGTCAATCGCCGTTAAGCGAGGCACCACTGTACTGACCTCCAGAAGTTGCTATTCTTTCAGCTGCCACAGCTTTAACCAACGTCAGATAGAGGGAGTGCCTTGAATGTTCAACTAGAAGGAAATTTGTAATTTTATATATATCATGAGTGTATATATAAAATAATATATGTAAAAAAATTACAAAATTCCTTGTAGTTGAACATTTGAGGCAATCCCTCTCTATATCATCCGGGCACCGCAAACCATGGAGGTAAACTAGATATGCTTGTGGTCCGGTCCTGAGTTAAGCTCCACGGTTTGCTAGGCCTGGATGTTTGGCAACGGCTTTGTGCAACTCGCCCAAACCCCACCGTTTCACGTTCATTCCCATGGGACTTCAACTCCCTTTCTAGCAGTTAGCACAGGATTCTCCTTTCAAGCCTCCATCAGAAGCAGGGAAATGAAGTGAAGGAAAAGGGAGCATCGCATTTGGAATATCTATTCATGGAGGTTTAATGTTAGGCCGGCTTGGTGGCCGTCATCCGCGGCACTTCTCTTTGCTACATCGTCTTGTATTTATTTATTTACTTTATTTATACCCCGCCTATCTGGTGCTTTGACCACTCTAGGTGGCTGTATGGATTGAGCCACCCGAAGGACCCTCATGTTCAGCATCCCGCCCTGAACCCCCCTCTCTCCAATGACGATCAGGCACACCGGGTCGACCAGGACGACAGCGACGGCGCGGGTGCAGGTCTCTCCACCGTCCTTGGAGACCTTCGTTTGGAGATCCATCGTGTGTTGTTGGGCCTCTGTATAGAGATGGTCGCGTACGACCATGCATGGGAGGCCACCGAGGGTCAGTCCTTGGGTGAGCAGGATGTTCCTGTTCTGACCAAGAAGAGCTTGAATCTCTGGCTCCGTCACTTTGGCCAGGATGCCCCCCGGCCAGGCACAAAGGAGCCGCCATTGAAGAATGGAAACAATGGCTGCATCCCAGCACAGCAAATCTTCCATGAAACTGTTGATGTATTCTTGCCAGATGGCCATTTTTGATCATTAAGAATGTGTGCGATGAGTATGAGTTGCAGTTCGGGAGCCCTCGTATCCGGGACAGAAGGCAGAGCAAAGAAAGACTCTCCTTTTAGAGCCGGGCTAATGCTAACCCTTTTTCAACCTTTTGGTTTGGATTTCCTCTCCGGAGCAACAGGAGACGCTCTCCACCACACGAGGTGTGCCTTCTTCCCCTGGAGGAAACGGGAGTATGGCAGGCTAAGTGAAGCCAAGAATGAGGATGATTCTTTCGAGAATAGTAGGTTTCCTTGCAATATTGATTGCATGTATTGATCCTTCCCTTCATGCCAAATGCACATTCTCAGCTCCTTTTCGCGGCCATTCTAGCTCTTTGCTCTAGAACTTGGGCAGCAGTTGACGGTGATGTCATAATGCATCTTCTTCCTGGACAAATCAAGTCATACCCCCCCCCCTTTGCTTTGTGCTGATGTCATTTTCTGAGAGCCTTGGGCAATGCCTCCCATCCTCCTTAACTACTGAACCCTCACTGGTAGTCCCAAACGTTGCTGTGCATTTGCAGCGGATGTATCTGGAGAACATCCCTTTTTCTACTTCATAGGGCGATAGGGTCTAGGTGGATGTCACCCAGATTAGCATAAATGCTAATCCGTTTGCTGGGAGGAAGGTGGCATAAAAGGGCAAAGGCACCTGAATGAGTTCACAGCCCTTCCGTTCTCTGGGGAGGGACCTTCTGTTCCCCTAGACTGCCATGGGACTTAAAATGACAGTTTTCTCAGTCCACCAACTAGCTGCTAAGCTATTTTCTAGCATTTTTCAAAGGCTCAAATGCACATATGGGTCAAAGAGAAAGAAGACTCAACTCGGAACAAAAATGAAGCCGTCTCCCCCCCCCCTTTCCTTTCTAAAGCAAAATGGAAAGCAAACGTGGCCAGTTTTGGTCTTCAGTTCTATGTTTTGATGCCTCCAGATGAGGACAGGGAGGTTGTTTTCAAATGTACAAGCTGGAATACTTTAGCTCCCTCAGGAAGGACGAAGTCTACTATGAGGAGAAAGCAGCCAAGATAAATAAAATGTTTTTTTTTAAAAAAAATGGAAGTATTTCGAGTCCCGTGTTTGTAGACTTGAATGCTTTATTTATAATCTGTCAGTGTTAAAACCTTCAGAAGAGAAGACCTACAGTGTGTGGTTTCTCAACACCAGGTAGGCGTGGGGAGTGAGGGAAAGACATCAGGAAATTAAACTGGCTTAGACAAAGAAAACTTAAGTGGGAAATAGAAATCCTTTGTTTGCCTCAGATATTTGCTTTATAGCCCACCCACCGAAATAGGAGTTGTACTGTTGTATTGGAAGGATGTGCTGCTTAGTCACATATTAATTAGTACCTCCAAGGTGTGTGTTGCTAGTTTTTCTCATGGTTGTCTTAGCTCATTGGTCGTGCATGTGTTTCCTGTCGTTTATTGGAAAGCTGTGGTGCTTCTGCCTCCCCGTGCCCGGCCACCCGCTCTTCTCGTCCATCGTGATTCCCTCTTTCTTTGACATGAGAATTTCCTCATATTTTTATACCTGTCTTTTTCCTCTCCCACTTTGTGTGGTGGTGCTCAGCCCAGATTCCCTCCCTCTCCCCCGGCCCCCCATTTTGAGCGCAGCCTCCCTTCCCAACATCCCGCAAAGCGAACGGCTGCTCTGATCTCCCAGCCTTCCACCTTCCGGTTGACGGTCTTGGATCGGCAGACCGTCGCTTAATCTAACGCGGGTTCCCTCGGTGCCGGCACGGCCGTGGAGGCTCCCTTCGACTCCTTCATCTTCTCTAGGGCGAGCAACAGGTCCAGCTGAGTAAGAGGCCGCAAGCGCTCCTCGTCTAAGTCACTGGAGGCAAAAGAAAGAAAACCGAATTGTGGGCCACCTTTTGAAAGATGGCGGCTGCGGAGCCACCCCTTTGCCCTGACCTAGATTTCTCTGGCCCTTAAATTGAACGTTTCTTCTGTTGCCCTTTCCTTAAGTTTCAATGTCTATCCCCAGCCTGGCGAAGGTTTGTCATATATGGTAGATTTACATGTTTTTGGTTTCACGTTATGGCTGTAGGATCCATAGAATGCCTTTTAGAAGCTTGGCCCTGTTTGCCCACCAAGCCTAGTCCTTGTGTCTCCTCTGAACAGCAGCTGTTTTCTGGGGAATCAGAGAGATGCTGCCTAGAGATTCGGCTATGCTGGCATTTTGATAATCTCCCTAACACTTTCGCTCCAGAAAATCCTATTAGTCTGGGAAAGGACACTAAAAAGACATGTGAACATAATAGGTCAAGAAACATTTGATGAGAACGTGGGCTCTTCTCCCTGGTTGATTATTCCCATAGTATGTTTCGGTATGCGTGCAATGGGACATTATCCCAGAAACTAAGCTCTCACATCCCCTTTAGCCCTCTTCCGATTTTCAGGAAAGACCCTCCAACAAACCCAAGTTTTAAGAAGGAATCTTTTCCTTCAAACGTTGTGTCTGTCACACAGAATTCAGTGTCTTTCTAAGCAAAGCCTGTCATTCTCTGGTGCCGCTTTTGATAAGCAAAATAAGCTTCTGCCCATCCTAACGTTTCTTCCCCAGCTTGAAGGGTACAGGGGAGAACCCTGCTTTGTTTTGGGGTTCTTTTGTCTTCAAGGAACGAACAAGGGCAAAGCTTCATCTCTGTTTCCCCCAAACCGTCATTTTCCTGAATGTCTGCAGATGAGCACGGAGTGGCTCCTTTTTAAGAACCAGGGAGCCTTCGCCCATCATAAATTGTAATTGCAACCTTAGCTGTTGGGTTTGAAACTGATTTCCTGAATCAAAACAGACCCATAAAGTTGAATGGCTCTCCTAATTTCCTTTTCAGATGGGAATTTTATGTTCCATCTTGCATTCAGTCAGTAGGAACCTGGCTATAGAGGTGTAGCCGTAGCATGAGAAAGAAACCACCCCATGGACTGATCCTATGTAACTTCAAATCTTCCACCATTACTGAAGGAATATAGAAAGCTGTAACAACCATGCCTGTGTTGCTGCAGATAACCTTGTGAGGAGCCCAAAAAACAATTTTACTGGGGTAGAAAACACTCATGATTTGGGTCTCCTGGGACTTAGCTCTGTTCCAATCAAGTGCTCCTTCCACTGATCCACTTCCTTAGACCTGTGGATTTGGAGGGTTGAGGTATCATTTTGTACCTGTAGAAATCAGTGGGTTGACCAACTAATTTGGGTCTAGTAAGATTTTGGTCACAAGATTATGACCAGTTAGGGGACGAATTAAAGTCTCACCTTTCCTCGTCGCTGTCTCCGTCCTCGTGGAGCATCTGGGCTATCTGCCTCATTTGCTGCTTTCGCACATAATCCCGCACCCGATACATGGCAGCGTCTCGGCACACTTCCCGCAGGTCACTCCCCGAATAGCCGCTTGTTCTCTCCGCCAGGTCCTTCAGGCTAACCGCATTGCTCAGCTGCTCCAAAGACAAAACCGTTTGGGTTTGGGGTTCAATAGGCAGGTTCACGCCTCCCCCTGAGTCCTGCCCTCTATGGCCTAAGAGGCTGGAGGCCATGCAGCCTTGGGTTGGCCAGCCTTTGCTTGCCCTGGTTTGGCGCCAACGGATGGTCAAAGAAGTAGGTGGGATGCTATCGGATCTTTGCCAACCCTGGCCTATATCTTGCCCTTTGCTGATAAACTGGTGCTTCCCTGCCCCTGCCTGATTTAAATTTCTGGCCCTTCCCCCCTCTTGAATGATCATGCCATTGGCCCATATAGACTGTAAGGGTGTGTGTGGCTAGGACACCGATTCCCGACTCCATTGTATGTACAGTACATCGTTTTTGCCACTTGATACCCATTTAGTTGTCTCATCTTCAACCTCTCATATCTTGATTTTTTTGTAGGCTTGAATTAAACTATTTTCATCCCATACTTCTGCCATTCCTAGTGACCCAGAGCCCACATTTGCTCAACTGCCCTAGCTGCTGATGCTGAGATTGCTAGCTAATTTATGCCATTACCGTGTTAATATTGACTCTGTTGTAATGAATGGTAACTAGTAAGGAAACATTCTAATATTATTAAGTAATTTGTCAGTCTGCAGTCATTATGTTTGGAATGAAACAGATTGTTGTGAAACAAAATCACATTCATTTCAGTTGCAAATTGACATTGGCTGCAACACTTGGAGAAAGGGTTTGTATAAATAAGACGGACTAGGCAAACGTGATAGGACCTAAACTTGGAATAATTTACTTTTCTGGATTAACACTCCCTGATATCAAATCAGATTGCTGCTCTAGCTATCTGAAGATCACCTACAATGTTTTGCCCAGATTTCAGGAAATGGCTTTTCTTCCTTCTACTGATTGATTGGAAGGACTGAATCTGGCACAATAAGCTGCAGTTGAAAAATTTAAAATGGAAAAAAAGAGGTTGAAGGAGAGACTCACATTTTCTCCTGCAAGAATGAGCTTCAGAATATCCTGCCGTTGCTTTTGTGTCTAGAAAGAAGACAGAAAGGGACTGGTTATACTGAGAACTGGAGGCTGACCAAACAAACAAACAAACCACTATGGTGTTGTATAAGAGCATGTGTACCCCTATAGCCACTTTACTGATGGCGGGCTGATCTCAACCGAATTGGTGAGCCAGCTAAGGGATCCAAATGCAAAGTCCGTTGTGTTTGTGTGTGTGTGTGGGGGAGTGTTTATACATGTCAAATAATTTAAGAGCAGGGGGGCTGTTCTAAGACAGAGAGAGCCTAAGGACCATTTCCCACCCATCCCAATCTTGATTCATATTAGGCACCACCAGTGGAAAGGAAAGAAAGCTTCTCAAAATGATTTTGAGAGCTGCCATAAGTGGGGATGGGTGGAAGCTCTCTTTTTTAAAAAGAAGAAATCCTAGAATAGCAAAGTTGGAAGGGGGCCTCTAAAGCCACTGAGTCCAAACCCCTGCTCAAGGTTGGAATCCAAATCAAAGCAGATCTGACGGGGGTTTGTCTTAAGTTTCTTTTGAATGCCTCCAACGCTGGAGCACTCCCCACCTCTCTAGGTAATCGGTTGCACTGTCCAATTCTATTTCCTTGAGGTCCAATTTTACTTTCTAACACCCCTTTCCCCTGCCCATGCAATGCGGGGGCGGCCTCCAGAAACCATATCAATGGTTGTGGGCCACATTTATCAGGGCAAGGCAAAGCACTCCCCCCCCCCATCTTCCATCTTGTCTCTGGCAAGAACATGGCCTGCATTTCATGATAATGGTAGTAACGGCCATAGGGTTGGGCTACAACGCTGTTCCCTATCTCTAGAGGAGATTAAGAGAGAATTCACAGAGCCACAAACCAGATGACAGGGCGAGGAGTTAATTACATATGGGCTGAAATCCTGTAACACAAGATAAGCACAATTTCATAGACTTTGATCCATAAAGAGCTGTTCAACCAAGTTTTTACCTTGGCCTGATTTAACGGTCCACTTTCTGTGCTTTTGAAAGGGAGATATAATGGGTTTCATACTACAAGTGCATGTTGTGATGGGAGGGATCTGGAAACCGGTGGGCACATTCTGTTATATTTGTGTTGTTGTTTTTACTGCGATTGCACAGCATGTTTTTATTACACCCCTTCCAAGCAAACAGGAAGAATTTTATTGCCTCTCCCTCTTCTTTTCTGACGGCAACTCCCAGATGCCTGACAAAGTGGCCAGGTTTTGTGCTGCTCCTAGTCCATCTCACAGTTCTCTGCTAATCAGTTAATACATGGGGATCTATGTGCTAGTCACACTATTTATTTATTACTAGAAGGATTGCATTTTGTGGCAATGAATGTAAAATACAAATTTTGCTTACTACCCTAGTTATTCTCCAGTGATCTCATTTTGGCTGAGAATGAGTTTTGCAGATACAGTTTTGGGAACTGTTATCAGAAGCAGGTCTTTGAAGGCACCCTGTTTCAAAAGGCTGTCCTCCGGTCCAAATCCATTTTTAAAGACCCAATGGGGAAAACAAGGGACTAAGAATTAGCAGCATGACTACACAGATGGAAAAGGGGCATAGATTATTAGGTGTGTAGCACACTGTTCCCCACCTGTGATAAGATGCACTGTATTACCATCTGTTATAGTAACTGTTTATACCTCTGAACACATACCAGCATATGAAATTTTTATGAAGATTTCTCCCCTTGTTTTTGGACCTATAGGTGGTCTTCTCTCTCTCTTTTTGGTGACCATGTTTGGCCACCTGGCCTGAAGACCTTAATGAGCAAAGTGGGGGCAACCACAGGGTATTTGTGAGAGGGATGTGCAGAAAGGGAGTTCAGATTTGCTTACAGGTAGACCAATCTGGAAGGTGGTGGGCATCCTTCTCAGGATAGCCGGGTCCACGTCTTGGGGCCTGTTGGTTGCTCCGAGCACCATGACCTGCAACGCAACAAAAGTGTGACAGGACGCTTGCATGGATTGAATCAATCGAGATCAAAAAGAGCAATACTGTACTTTTAAAGAAAAGGCCTTTTCAGATCAGGGTGGGCAAAGTGTCGCCCTCCAGTTATTGTTGGGCTGCAATTCCCCTCCACCCTGTTCTACATACTAAATGGTGAAGGAAGTTGGCTTGGTGGTCCAATGAGCTGGAGCACAACGTTCACAAGTTCAATTCCCCATTAGGCCTTGCCAGGGGTGGGTGGGGGAGGAATAAGCCAGCCTGTGTGGCCTTGGGCAAGCTGGAATCTACTTAACAGAGCACACTTGGTATATTATTGGTGAAGGAAGGTAGAAGTTACAGTAGAGTACTGTTTGAACAGCTATAGATTCCACACCCATTTATGCCATTGTAAAAAAAAATCAATACCGGGTCCACGTCTTGGGGCCTGTTGGTTGCTCCGAGCACCATGACCTGCAACGCAACAAAAGTGTGACAGGACGCTTGCATGGATTGAATCAATCGAGATAAAAAAGAGCAATACTGCACTTTTAAAGAAAAGGCCTTTTCAGATCAGGGTGGGCAAAGTGTCGCCCTTCAGTTATTGTTGGGCTGCAATTCCCCTCCGCCCTGATCTACATACTAAATGGTGAAGGAAGCTGGCTTGGTGGTCCAATGAGCTGGAGCACAACGTTCACAAGTTCGATTCCCCATTAGGCTTTCCAGAGGGGAAAATAAGCCAGCCTGTGTGGCCTTGGGCAAGCTGCACAGTGCCAGGACAGTCCCCCAAAAGAAGGGAAAGGTCAACCACTTCTGAAAACCCTGAAAACAGTGTCCAGAAGCTGGAATCTACTTAACAGAGCGCAGTTGGCATATTATTGGTGAAAGAAGCTGGAAGTTACGGTTGAGTACTGTTTGAACAGCTATAGATTCCACACTCATTTACGCCATTGTAAAAAAATCAATAAGATTTTGGTATATATGTGGGTAATACAAGGGATCTGAGGAGAAGGGAGGGAAGGTATACCTTGGGGGTGGGGGGTGGGGAAGAATCATATATTGCCCAGTGCTTGCTAACTTTGCATGAGCTGACCCTGTGATTCTGGCTGAGCGTTACCTGGCAATTGGGTTGGGTCTCCAGGCCATCCCAAAGGCTCATGAACTCGGCTTTCATCATTGCGGTGGCTTCATGGTCAGTTTCTGAACGGTTCCTCAGGAAGGCATCTGCCAGATAAAGAGAAATGTTCAGCCAAGAGGCTGGGCGGGGACACTCATCCCTTTGTGATGTGCCATTGACCTCTTAGCAAGATTTTGTTTTCTTTTAACTTGTGATTAACAATGAAATGCCAAGGGTGGTCAGTTATACTGAAGGGACTGGCATCTCCTGTAGCAGAAACGGGCATTCCCGTCATTTTCTATTCCTCCTTTTTTCTAATTGCACAGCTGGCATAGGAGGCTGCTGATGAAAATGAAAAGAAGACATGCATCAAATGTTTAATTGAACCTCTTTTCCATCTGGGAGAGGAACACACACACACACACACACAAAGCCTTTCTTTGGAAAAGCAAAGGAGATCGGGTGCCTTGCTCTTGAAGAGGAAATGGAGACTGATTAGCTTTCCAGAAGATCTGCTCCTTCTGGAGAGGAAACTAAGTTATCTAGAGGAGCCTACATAGTTGCCTGTGGTTTTTAATTTTTTTTATTTTTCTGGGGGTGTGGGTGGGGGCATGGTTATGGGCTATCATGATGACAGCCTAGACTTCAAAATGTGTAGCTGTGCCACTTCTTAAGGTGAAGATAAAAGGCTACAAGTCAGAGAGCAATAAGAGGGGAAAGCTGATGATTCCTCCTCCCACCTAGATCTACTCGAATCACTCATTCTAGCCAGGAAGGGTGGCTGAGGGGCCTAACGCTGAGGGAGGCCCGGAGAGAAAGAACAAGAAACCGGGCCTTCTCAGTAGTGGCCCCTCACCTTTGGAACAGTCTCCCGTCAGAGATCTGTCTGGCTCCCTCACTGGGTGTTTTTAAGAGCCAACTTAAGACCTGGCTCTTTCCCGCCTGTCATCACTTGATTATTTTTATCTTTTCCCCATCTCGAACGATATTGTTGTTCTCTATTTTATTATATCGCTTTTATGCCATTTTTATTGTTAGCCGCCCAGAGCAGACTTGGGTCTAAATGGGCGGGGTATACATTGAATAAATAAATAACAAATGAAAGGATTGAGAAGGAAGAAATGCAGGAATTACCTATTTCGTCTATGAAGATGATGCAGGGTTGGATCTTTGTGGCTAGGGAGAAAACGGCAGCCGTGAGCTTCTGAGACTCTCCGTACCATTTGTCGGTCAGGGTAGAGGCTTGTAGGTTTATGAACCTGCATCCTGACGCCTGGGCAGTTGCTTTGGCGAGAAGGGTTTTGCCACAACCCGGAGGGCCATAAAGTAAGACACCTGGTTGCAAGGAAGACATGCATGCACATTCTCTGTTCGCAGTCCCACAGAAAAAAAATTTCGTTCAGCTTTCTTAAGTTCTGCAAGGAATACAGTACAGTAACATCCCCCTATCCGAGGGATCAGTATGCACCGGTTCACCGATTAGCAGCTGCCTGAAAATATTAAATAACAAAACCCAGAAATACCTATATATATATATATATTCAGGACATATTTATAAGAACTGGCCACTAGAATGTATGGAGTTCAGTCCTTCCACATTTTTTGACATCCGTGGGGTGGAGGGGCTTAGAACCAATCCCCCACGGATACTGCGGTTCCACTGTACCTATTCTAAAAAAGTGTTGCTGAACAGAGTGCTAACTTGCAAAAGTACACATTGGAGGAGAGTTTTAAAACCGCTCTTTCACCTTGTAGAAGGGGTAGCCATGTTTCTCTACGCAATCAGTATCTCTTCCTCTAAAATCCCTACATTGACCCGCCCATGCCGGGGTTATTAAAAAAAGAAAAGGGAGGGTACCATAGTAGGAATGGTTAGATTTTTAAGCTCCTAAACAGAGGAGAGTAAATGGGGGTGGGGGGACAGAAATGGGAATCAGGCTAAAACCTCTCCTACTTGTGTGCAGGGGACCCGATCCAGATCACAGCCCTTCACGCTCACTTATAAGTGAAAGCACTAGCAAAGGCCACTACATACTTAACACAGGGCATTGTTTAGCCCCAGAGGGCACATTCTGTTCTTGTCTTGGCTGCCCCGTGACAAGGGATATAATTCTTACCCCACCCAGCAATTTTCTACATGAAAATCAGATATGGATGAGCACCCCCCATAACACTTTGGGAAACCAGGTGTTGGGTAATGAAAGGAAGCCCTTTTCCAGAGTCTGAGCAAAACGAACGGAGAGGAGGGTTTGTGAATGGGGCTTGGGTTCCACCATATACCTCTTGGGGGCTGGCAAAGCTTGGAGTGCTGGAACAGGTGCCTTTGCTGGAAGGGCAGGATCACAGTGTCCTGGAGTTCGCTGACCATCTCGTCCAGTCCTGCAATGTCCTTCCAAGTGACCTGCGAAGTGGACAAACCTTGAGAATGATGTTGTTGGTAAGTGCCACCAGGTTGCCTCTGACATGCAGTAGTCCTGTGAGCAAGCCATCTCCAAAAGGTCCTGCCTTCAACAGCCCTGCTGAGCTATTGTGAACAAAAGCCTATGGCTTCTTTTAGGGAGTCAGCCCATCTTCCATTTGCTCTTCCTCTTTTCCTGTTGCCTTCAACTCGACATGCAGTAGTCCTGTGAGCAAAACATCTCCAAAAGGTCCTGCCTTCAATAGCCCTGCTGAGTCAGCCCATCTCCCATTAGCTCTTCCTCTTTTCCTGTTGCCTTCAACTTTTCCCAGCATTATTGTCTTTCCCAGGGTATCCTGCCTTCTCATGATGTGCCCAAAGTAGGACGGCTTCAGTTTCAACATTTTTGCCCCTGGAGATAGAGTTCAGGCTTTATTTGATTTAGGACCCACTATAGAGGGCTCTGGGCTATCTCGAAAGGAGTGGGGTTCCAAATGTGACCATTCAGATGCCACAGGATGAAATCCAAATGGAAGTGCCTCATTTATTTTTCTGTTAACCAACGTTTCCTCCTTTCTCTCTGTCCCTTTCTGTGCTGTCGTTGTTGACACTGTAAGCTCCGCTGGGCAGTAACTATTTTCATGGGCGTATCTTATTGCTGTGTGAAGCAACATGTGTAGACAGAATCTAATTGGGATGCAAAAAATAAATTGGTGGAATTTTGAAAAACGTGATGAAAATGAAATGGACAGATTTCACATCCCAGCTCTAAGTTGTGCAAAAAAGAGAGAGTTAATAACAACCTCCCCAGTTCACCTTGATGTCCTTTGGAATCACCAAGTGAGCAGCAATATTCATCTCATGCTCTGTCAGCTTCACCCCTTCCACTCCAATCTGTTTCATCAAGTGTTCAGCCTGCCCACAGAAAAAGAGGATCAGAGTTCCAGTCCTGCCCCAGGGCCCAGAGTTCAGAAATGACTCTTAACTAGTAACAAGTTGCATTGATGAAAGAGTAGCATAACTAATACTTACAGCATTACTTAGATATGTATCTAATAAAGCACACTTTATGTAATCATCCTTACGTGATGGGATAAGTAAACAGACTTCTAGCCACTGCTTCAAAGCATCTACACTGACAGTTCCACTGACAAAAGCTGCAAATCATAATTGTGTAGCTGGATAGGAGTCTGAATTCCTTTAGCAATAAGCAGACTGGTCTACAAGGGATCCTTAAAAGGGCACTGAAACTAACTTATAAAATACCAAAAGTTTGTATCTATTTTAACAAGGGTGAAGCAAAGGAAGAGGAGAAGAAAAAGATAAGAGCAAGACAGGGCACTCCATCCTTGTCTGCTGGAGGGCTAAAATCTGCCAAAGCAATTCATAGAAATCTCTACATTATTGCCATGTGGATGAAATCCTATAAAAGAACATTTAATGGTGGTCATTTAGGATGGCTGCTTATTACCGCCACCAACCTACACACACCCTGGTATGACCCCGGCTTACCTTTTTCTTTAACTGTATCCTTTGCTTCCGAGAAGGGTCCAGAGCATCCGATACCCACTTTATGCTAAAGTAAGTGGCCGTTCCAAAGACAGTCAGGCGGAGAAGGGCCATGAGCATATCATTCCGGGTCAGTGGCCGGGTCAGGAGTTCCTTTGAGATTTCCCCGAGCATCATCTCTGGACTGCTTCTAGCTCCCTGAGGTGACACTAGATGGATTTTTTTAAAAAAAGAGGAAGGGGTACATTGAAATTTGAAACGATGACAGAGAAAATGCTGCAAGAGCTGTATCAAAATTTAACACTGCTCTCAAAACATGTCACTGAATACGATCATCACAATCGTGGCTTCTGCCACCTGGGCAGACTAAGTTGATGGTTACCTGGAAAAGGGGTTTATACGGTAGCAGCCCCTTGACTGTACAATGAACCGGGAAGGAAGAGGAGAGGGGCTCCTTCCTTCTTTTGCTTTAAACCAACAGGGTTTTACTCTGTTGGGATTTTAATGCTTTGCCTTCTCTCACCTTTTGATCTTAATGCCACCCATTACATTTTGCTGTATCAGGTTGGCTCCTCTCTTTTTTGGTCTCTCCCCCCTCAAAAAAAGTTTACATTGCTTTTACTCTATATTGCTTATGGTAGGTGGTGGGTGCAATTTTAAATTTTGCTAAAATAAATATTAGTCTAATAAGTTTATGCTATACTTCTGGTGATAGGATTTCACATCTATTTGTTTGTGTTTTTTTTTTTAAAAAATCAGCATGAAATCCAAAGCTCAGCTTCCCAAAGGGTTTATTTCAATAGACACTTCAGTCCTTTTTTAGTAAGAGCACCAAACAGACGTTACAAACCCATCAAGTCTGTTGCCTTTTATGTGTTTTATGTACTCCCTTCTCAATTTGTCCAAGATTATCACTGATTCATTGTTTACTATGAATATTGGTTTAAAGTGAACCACAGAGCCTATTCATACTTCATTTAAAAAACAAAACAAACTCAAGTATAATAAAGTATTGCCGTTTTTATTACAATATGTGTTCAATTTTTTAAAAAAAATTGTACACTTACTGCTTTTAGCTTTTAAATGTTGTTTTTTAAAGGATGTAAGCCATCTTGGGCCTTTTTTATGGAGCAAGGTGGGGGGAATATAAATAAATAAATAAAATATAATATAAAATTTGAAATGGGAAAATAAACATATACAGCCATCAGAGAGCAGGTCATTGACTCCTCCCACCTTATAGTAATACAGTAATTACAGTAGGATAAATGGGAAGCCATTGGGAGTGATTGTATAACCTCACTCAGCAGAAGGGTTTTTGATGCTTTGCTGCCCTGTAGTTCCCTGAACGGAACTTCTCAGCCTCCTCTCCTGCAGCATCTAATAAGGGTGTCCCCCTTGGACCTTCCGCTCGTGAGCCTGCGGGCAACTTTTGAGAGCCAGCTGATCGCTCGTGACTCTGCTAGCAGCTAGCTAGCTCAACGGACCCGGTTTTGCAGGCTAGACACCTGCGGGACTCGCCTTCAGACGTGCGCCCGCTGGCGTCCGCCTCGGAACCCGCAGCTTGAGGAATATATAGGGCGCCTCTCCTGACGTCACCTGTCCCCAGGTGAACTCATCCCCATTCAGAGATACTACATACAACTTTTCGCTCAGATCCCCTGCTTCCCGACCTTGGGTCCCCCCCCCCAGGCATTCTCGGACGACACCTCCCAGCCATCCTGGCTAGCACAGCGAGTGGGGAAGGCTGATGGGTGTTGTGGTCCAAGGGACGCCTGGGGACCCCCAAGATTGGGTGGGAAGCACGGGAGTAGATGCCATAGGGTTGCCCCCCCCAAAAATAAGATGGGAACATGTGGGTCCGGGAATGAGGGCGCCGGATTCCCCCCACCCCACCCTACCCTCGCCTGGGATGGAGCAAGGCAGGGTCTATGGGGTCGCTGCCGAACGACGCGCCGGGAAGGCTGATGGGTGTTGTGGTCCAAGGGACGCCTGGGGACCCCCAAGGTTGGGTGGGAAGCACGGGCGTAGATGCCCCCTCCAAAAAAATAAGATGGGAACGTGTGGGTCCAGGATTGAGGGCGCCGGATTCCCCCCACCCCACCCCATCCTCGCCTGGGATGGAGCAAGGCCGGGTCTATGGGGTCGCCGCCGAGCGACGTGCCCCTCCGCTCGCTGGGGAGCCGGGCGCTGGCCGTGGTGCTGAAACCGCCGCCGCCGCCGCGGCCCCAGCCTCGCTTCCCGGGCCAGGAGGAAAGCCTGCAATGGGAGGGAGGGAGGGAAGGAAGGAAGGAAAGAAGGAAAGAAGGAAAGAAGAGGAATTGCATGGAGAGACTCACCCACCCCCTCTGGCCGCCGCCGCCTCCTCCTCCGCCTCGGTCTCCAGCTGCCAAACCTCCCCGCGCAGGAACAAGAACCGCGGCAGAATCCGTCCTCCTTCCTCCTCCTCGGCAGCGGCGGCGGCGGCGGCGGATGCCCCGTGGATGAAAGGCCGCCGGAGATCGGCTGGTCGTTGGCCCGAAATGGAAGCGCCCTCGGAGGGGTTGGGCTGCCTCCAGCCAGGGTGGTTCCAGCAGGAGGATGAGGAGGATGATATCATCGCAGGTGGAAATGGGAACCCCCTCTGGCGAGTAGAAATGCCATCCTGTGGAAGGAAGGCAGAGTCCTGGCTTCCAGGCACATCCAGGTTCACCAGCATTCCCGTGTGGAGATGGGAATACGTGAATCCCTCCAGGGAGGCTGGGTTGGCAAAAGCCGCAGGCAAGTGAAGCCCCTTTTGTTCCTTCCCAAGGACCAGACCTCGCACAGAGGCAAGCAGAAGCTGTCCTTCCTGAAGCTGGGACAGTCCCGAGAGGATGATTGCACCCGCTTTAGTGTTGAAGCCAGTTCTGCTTCTAACTGCAAAGATACTTGATTGGCTGCTTGGGCCACAAGGGGCTTAATAATGGCATGCCCTCAAGTTAATAACTTGTGGTGGCCCTTCTCAGGGTTTTCTTGATACAGAGTGTTCAGAAGTAGGGTGGTTGCGCGTTTTTGGCTGTGTTCTGGGTTTTTTTTAAATAGAGACCTGGTCCCATGTGAGCTGGCTGGGTAACTGAGTGAACTGGAGCACCTGGCTGTGCAGCAGAGGCCCTTCTGTCTTCCACTGCCTCCTGAAGTTTGGTCAAAGTCATGTTGGTCACTTCGATGACACTGTCCAGCCATCTCATCCTCTGTCGTCCCCTTCTCCTCTTGCCTTCACACTTTCCCAACATCAGGGTCCTTTCCAGGGAGTCTTCTCTTCTCATGAGATAGCTAAAGTATTTGACCCTCAGCTTCAGGATCTGTCCTTCCAGTGAGCACTCAGGGTTGATTTCCTTCAGAACGGATAGGTTTGTTCTCCTTGCAGTCCAGGGGACTCTCAAGAGTCTCCTCCAGCACCATAATTCAAAAGCATCAATTCTTCGGTGGTCAG